ATCTATCTATCAATCATCTATCATCTATCTATCCATCCATCTATCCGTCTATCCGTCTATCTATCTATCTATCTATCTATCTATCTATCTATCTATCTATCTATCTATATCTATCTATCTATATCTATCTATCTATCTATCTATATCTATCTATCTATATCTATCTATCTATCTATATCTATCTATCTATCTATCTATCTATCTATCTATCTATCTATCTATCTATCTATCTATCTATCATCTATCTATCTATCTATCTATCTATCTATCATCTATCTATCTATCTATCTATCTATCTATCTATCTATCTATCTATCTATCTATCTATCTATCATCTATCTATCTATCTATCTATCTATCATCTATCTATCTATCTATCTATCTATCTATCTATCTATCATCTATCTATCTATCTATCCATCCATCTATCCGTCTATCTATCTATCTATCTATCTATCTATCTATCTATCTATCTATCTATCTATCTATCTATCTATCTATCTATCTATCTATCTATCTATCTATCTATCTATCTATCTATCTATCTATATCTATCTATCTATATCTATCTATCTATCTATCTATCTATCTATATCTATCTATCTATCTATCTATATCTATCTATCTATCTATCTATCTATCTATCTATCTATCTATCTATCTATCTATCTATCTATCTATCTATCTATCATCTATCTATCTATCTATCTATCTATCTATCTATCTATCTATCTATCTATCTATCTATCTATCTATCTATCTATCTATCTATCTATCTATCTATCTATCTATCTATCATCTATCTATCTATATCTATCTATCTATCTATCTATCTATGTATCTATCTATCTATCTATCTATCTATCTATCTATCTATCTATATCTATCTATCTATCTATCTATATCTATCTATCTATCTATCTATATCTATCTATCTATCTATCTATCTATCTATCTATCTATCTATCTATCTATCTATCTATCTATCTATCTATCTATCTATCTATCTATCTATCTATCTATCTATCTATCTATCATCTATCTATCTATCTATATCTATCTATCTATATCTATCTATCTATCTATATCTATCTATCTATCTATCTATCTATCTATCTATCTATCTATCTATCTATCTATCTATCTATCTATCTATCTATCCATCCGTCTATCTATCTATCTATCTATCTATCTATCTATCTATCTATCTATCTATCTATCTATCTATCTATCTATCTATCTATCTATCTATCATCTATCTATCTATCTATCTATCTATCTATCTATCTATCTATCTATCTATCTATCTATCTATCTATCTATCTATCTATCTATCTATCTATCTATCATCTATCTATCTATCTATCCATCCATCTATCCGTCTATCTATCTATCTATCTATCTATCTATCTATCTATCTATCTATCTATCTATCTATCTATCTATCTCTATCTATCTATCTATCTATCTATCTATCTATCTATCTATCTATCTATCTATCTATCTATCTATCTATCTATCTATCTGTCTGTCTGTCTGTCTATCTATCTATCTATCTATCTATCTATCTATCTATCTATCTATCTATCTATCTATCTATCCATCCATCCATCCATCCATCCATCCATCCATCCATCCATCCATCTATCTATCTATCTATCTATCTATCTATCTATCTATCTATCTATCTATCTATCTATCTATCTATCTATCTATCTATCTATCTATCTATCTATCTATCATCTATCTATCAATCTATCTATCTATCTATCTATCTATCATCTATCTATCAATCTATCAATCTATCTATCTATCTATCTATCTATCTATCTATCTATCTATCTATCTATCCATCCATCCATCCATCCATCCATCCATCCATCCATCCATCTATCTATCTATCTATCTATCTATCTATCTATCTATCTATCTATCTATCTATCTATCTATCTATCTATCTATCTATCTATCTATCTATCTATCTATCTATCTATCTATCTATCTATCCTTTTTAAAAAACAGTTTCACATTTCAGATGCATTGCTCAATTTTTGATGTTTACCCTAAAGAGACCACCAGGGGGAGCTCTACTACAGAGTGAAAATAACTGATTTTGCGGTTCTGTTTAGTTGAAGACAGACCTGGGTGAAACCAACAGCAGATGTGTCAAATACACACTTATTGGTGTCTCCTTTGAACGTGTTAAAGTATTCATTTTGATCTAAACTGAAGAAGATAGACAAACACTGCTAAGATAAAACAAGGACTGTGTTTCCCGCCGTTTTCTGAAGAAATACAATTATCAAAACATTCTTCTGAACAATGCGTGATACTCAATGGCGTTTATCGTTGTTTCCTCCTCAAAAATCCGTTAAAGTGATTTAAGGTGAAGGAAGATAAATCTTTACCGAGCCTACAACCCTTGCCCACATCTGAACCAATAGCAGCTCGAGAGCGACAGTTCCAACCAATCAGAGAGCAGCGTGCGCACCAACTCTGTTTTCTGATTGGTTGTTTCAGCCAATCGGGGGCAGCGTGAAATCTCGCTGCTCGGATTGACGACGACCATGGAGCGGAGTAGTGACCTTCTCTGTGCTACAAAGTTTTAGTTTTTCTCGTTTCAGGCCCCAAAAGGTGAGTTTTAAATCCGCTTTTATCATTCTTTCAGGAGGTATTTGGGTTTTACTCAAAGCGTGGGGTACCTGTTAGGGTCGAGGACTTAAGGGTTTTCACTTTGTTTTTTTGTTGTTTTGTTTTTTATTTTTTTTTTATTTTTGAGGTGTTTATGTGCGTGGAGGACTAGTTTATAAAAGGAAAATGAGCCCAAACTTTCTGCTTCAGTGTTTAAAGCGCAGGCAAGAACATCCTCAGCCCACTGGCCCAGTTGGGTTTTAAACGCAAAATAAAGATGGTGAAGAAAACAGCGAAGTCGCTATTTTGTCACATATGTTGATTTACTGCACATCTTGAACTTTTTGTAAAATGTGCTGTCCGTAAAGGGCCACTTCCCTGGCTTTTGTAAACAAGTCAGATGTGCCTGTATTTGCGTTTTCTGTGGTCGCAGCTATTTTTGTATTGAAATATGCAAAAACCTGGTTACACTGGTCATTGGTGTAAGTTAAACCATTCTACGCTTCATGCGAAGTCTCATTTGGATATTTGGTTTAGTTCTTTTCATGACCCGTCCCGCGTGAGTTAATTTCTACCTGTTCTGTGTTTGCAGGAGTCATGGGGGAAATAGAAGGTTCCTATCGGGTCCTGCAGACCCCCGGGACTAGACTGGGAGCCCAGTTCAATGCTGGGATCAGCACCCTGGAACCAGGCCAAAGTCTCAGTGGCAACATGGGCAGTGGGAGCAAAGGTCATGGGCGAGGCCCTCATATCCGTGTGCAGGGCCTGGACGACTCCCAGGAGTTCTTCGACATAGATGTAAGTGTCAGCTGTTGCACGTGGGTGGTGGTGGGGGGGGGGGGGGGGGTCATCGCCATCTCAGATAAACGTGCTGCTTGTCTTGGTTAGCCCGCTTTGCTTGGGTTGGTGACAGCTGCTGCCTCATGGCTTTGGTGCTAAAATCCCTTCCTCCTTAATGCTTCTTACTCCCATCACTTCATGCAGCACACCAGGGCGCTTTTAGGTGTCCATGGTTCGATTTGTGCTTCTCCTGGATGCTCCTTGTCCTCAGATGTGACAAACATGTTGGTGGTTTTTCTGTCGAGTTGTTCTTGATCATTTTTGAAGAATCAATGCACCAAGGGCTCAGATTCATTACATTTCCTGCAAAAACATTGTCAGTTTTCTGGGCTGAATGAATTTGCTTAATTACTGTGAGTTTTTTCAATTTGAGCAAACTTACTTAAGAGATTTTTATTAGGGTATGTATCCCAACCCTAGTGTCTAGTTTAGGTGCATTTAAACTAGGGATGCACCGATGGATCGGCATTTGATCCCAATCGGCCGATAGCGCCCCTATCGGTTTTGATTGGAGTTTTCAAAATAGATCAAAGCAGACCGATCAGACCATTTTAGATTAGGTTACATTTCCTTTATTCCCAGATTATGTAGTTTGCAGCACTCATTATAATATTGTAGAAAATTTCTGGCCAATCCACGTGATCGGTATCGGTGATCAGCATTCTTTGGTATCGGTATCGGTGATCGGCAGCAAAAAACCTGATCGGTGCATCCCTAATTTAAACATAGAAAAACTATTTTTGCTACATTAGCAGAAATGCTACAAAATAGGAAAAAAAGCTAAATTACTTGGTGTTAACACAATGTCTGTAACTTATTTAAAGTTTCCACATATGTTTTAGATGTCCGAATTACAAAGTTTTTTATGTTTGAGCCAGTCGGTCATGCTTAATATTTAAACATATTTAAATGTTAAAAGGCCTGAACATTTAACGTTTATAGTTATAATTAGATAATCCAGAAATAAACTTAGTAAAAATGCAGAAGAAATGGATTGCTACAGTAGGAATGTGTGTATGGCGTTCACACGGTGAGGAAAATCACCAATTCCTTCTTTACAGACAAGTGGACATCAAACTGAAGCCGTTTCTCTGGGTTCCTGTTGTTACTCGCCAACATGCTGCCAGAGTAATTTAGCAGGCGAATAGGAAACAATAAGGAAGCTACTATATCAGCGTATTTCCTGCCCCTTCCTGCTGAATGGGGGATATCCAAGTGAAGTTGGCTCATTGATTTAAATACGTAATTTACTAGCTGCTTCACACAGAGGTGTGATTCTGGACCTGGGGGCTGCATCAGAACCGTGGTTCGAACACTTCCCTGTATCTGTCCTAAACCCTCACGTAGTCTCAACACTAACTGCTCTGGCAGACGCCGGTTAGCAGCACTGCTGAGACAGACGTTTCATAATCTTATGCACCATATGTTGTTTCAGAGTTTTAAGCTAGTGGAGCGAGACAGACACAAGTTTAATTTGCAAAGACGTTTCTTAGTGAGTTGTTTAATCTGTACATAAATTTTTTTAAGGTTGTATGTTTTAACGAGGGACACCTGAACTCGGCCTGTTGAATGAAGCTCTGCACATAATGCGGCGGGGGGGGGGGGGGGGGGGGGGGGGGGGGGGGGGGGGGGGGGGGGGGTGGCATTGGGGGCTCAATGACGGCAGTCTTGTTGTCAAGCAGACTGCAGTTTGGCAAGAACAAGATGACCCTCTGAGAGGCCGTGTTGTTCATGAACATTCACTCGTATGTCTGTTCATTCATTCTGAGGAGTCGTGGGCTGGTGGGAGAATTGTGTTTTATCTCTGAGCAGCATGGCTACACAGCCAAACACATCGACTATGAGTGCTGTGCTTTATTTTCTTCCAAAGTTACTGCCATGCTGCAAGATTAGCCTCCTCTCTGCCCGATCGCAACTACTTTAAGGAGAAACTAGTGTATACCTTTTTCTACATTGAGTACGTTTACATGCAGCCAATGTCCGGGTTATGATCGGGTTAAGGTCGGTATTCGGGTTTCTGAGTTGATCAGAATAACCCGTTTACAAGCATAAATAGAAAGAGTTACCCCTAACTTGCATAACCCGGTTTTAATGCGGACGTTGGAGTAGCGTCAGGACGTATGGACTACGTCCAGACGCAATATGCGTCACTTCCGGTTCTTCTTGTTCCGGTATCCGTGAAAACAACAATATGTTTCCCAGTTCAGAAGAGATAGCGACCGCGTTTGTTTGCGCTTTAGTTTCTTCGTCGCTCCAAAAGTGTGGTGCTGTGCCGCGACTCGCCATGTTGCTCCCAACTTGTTGTAGCCTCCTATCTGCCCGATCGCAACTACTTTAAGGAGAAACCAGTGTACAGCAATCCCTCGTTTATCGCAGTAGATGCGTTCCAGACCTGACCACGATAGGTGAAAATCCGCGAAGTAGGGACTCCCAGCATGCCCCTCGCGGGGATTCCCTCCACGTCGCACCTACGTCACACACCGCGGCTATAAACGGAAGTCGCCTTTCCAGCTCACCACTCAGTCATCGTTTCTTCAGATTCATGATTAGTTTCCAATCTACCGATCAATCCAATGAACTATCAGCTCATAGTAAGTTATCTTACTTACTTCTGGAAAGCCCGGCATTTCCGTGTCACTTTGTTGACGCTCGAACGCTCGGGGGGTTCCTAGATCAGCCGGCGTTTCACCGACGCTCACTTCCGCGTCTGTGAAACCACGCTCCCTATTGAATTATCGTATGATCACATTCTCTTTTTGTGGGTAAAACTCAAGAAAAAAATTTTTTTTACTTGTTTTTTTTTAGTTTTATTACAAAAAGTGCATTTTATGATGAAATTGATGAAAAAAACAAGAATTTCTTGATATTTCGCATAGAAAAATACCGCGAATCTGTGAAAAATACAGCAAATCTGCGAATTCCCCCTGAAAAATGCTCCAAAGAAAAAATCCGCGAAGCAGCGAATCCGCGATGAACGAACCGCGAAGTAGCGAGGGATTACTGTATACCTTTTTCTACATTGTAACTGTGCTTTTCTCCCCACTAATGCAAATATAGATGCAAAACTCCAGAGTGGACTATTTGGTTGTGGCTTTTATCAGACTGTTTCCACTAACTGTGGGACTTCCGATGCTCAGCTATCATTACACCTTCTGTTTGTGTACAAGTTTAATTTACTGTTTACTGCAAGTCGTCTTATACTAATGTTTCCTAACAAGTTTCCTCATGTCCTTGCAGCATGTTTGTTTATGTTTTAACTGCCGTATTGAAAGGGGAGTCCTCGCTGTTTAAAAAGTGATGGTTATTACTGCTTTGTTATTGATAGGGGTGCACAATATATCTGCATCTACATTGGTATCAGCTGATGATGTTTCTTAACATGCCGACATTGCTCCTATAAGTTAAACTAGGCTGATATTAACTACTGATGTTTATTTCTATCTTGTAGCTGTTTTTGGATGTCTTTAAGCGCGCGGGGGGGGGGGTTTTGATCATATGGTATTTGTTTGTAAACGTCACTTGGTGCGTTTACATGCGCATCAGAAAACCAAACGTTTGCCTAGATGGTCTGAGGTCAACTGTTTTATATGCATAAATCATTAGTCTCGCTGAAGGTGAACTGGTTCTGATCGTGCTGAGGCGCCCAGGTAATGCGGTAGAAACCTGACTGCATCTGCATGTAAACGATTATTGGTAACTGCTGAAAGAGATGAGACCGCAGAAGCAGTATTCTGCTAATATCATCACCACAAAGTAGCACGTGTTACACCATCGGTGTGTGAATGTGTGTGTAAATGGATGAATGATACACTGTGGTGTAAAGCGCTTTGGATTACTTACTCTGAGAGGCGCTATACAAGTGTGGGTCATTTATCAAACAGAACAGGACGTGCTAGGGCTGGGCAATAAATCAAAAATTTATCGTCATCGAAATTTCTGACTCTTATCGTGAAAAATTTTCCCCATATCAATAAATTTCATAATAAAAAATGGAAAGTTGTGTGTAGGTTGGCAACATTCCAGGGTTTCCCCCAGCGCTATTATAAGCCTGGCAGCCCGCCAGGCTTTGCTTGGCCATCCGCCAGGCTAAGTGTCATGCCTTTCCCCCCGACCCTACCGTGTCCACTGACACGAACGGCGCAAAGAAACTAGAGCCCTCCATCAATCGATACTGGTGACAAACAGCAGCAAAACGTGTGCAACCACCCCACCTCTATGGGGTTAGACCCGTGCCAAAACCCGTGCACGCGGATTCCGCGTGCACGGGTTTTGGCACGGGTCTAACCCCATACACCTCCACCCCAGCTCTCACAGAGGAGCGCTGCGGGATGGAGCGCGCGACCCCCCACCCCGCTCTGACGGCCGAATCCGCCAGGCTTATAGTATATGATTATAGGCCATACGCCCAGCTCTAGTACGTACCAAATACTGCAGCGTTGTTGCTGTCTAATCCTTTGGCAAGTGTGCATATCCTGTTTTGACTTCATCTGCTTCACTCCTGCCATCGTTTGTTTACCATCTGTGTTGCTATAAGCTAACTAGAAGAGTGCTGACGCGAAAGGGCGCATGTCACTATTTACTGTACTGGAGTGGAACAAGCTTCATTTGAGGGTTCGGTTTTCTAACGTACGTGTAAACTGGAATAAATGCTCCCAGTTATTTACTTTAGATTGACCTAGATTGACTTAGATGCACATGTAAATGTGTGATAGTGATGCAACACAGGCAGGGTCTGAAATTAACACTCGCCAAATGCGAGCAAATTGCTCCATTTGGCGAGTAAATTTTTGAGCTGTACCGGCCACCTGGCGAGTAAATGTTTGCACCAAATTAGTTATGTTTATCAGTCATCTTCCATGGATTTCTGATACTCCTCCCGCTGCATGCAACGTACACAAACGTACGCGAAACGTGAACGCCGCATCCAACGTCATTTCCACTTATCCCATTCAACCAGT